TTCCGGCAGAAAGGTCAAAACAGAGGCTCGGCTCTGACTAGCTGAAGTTGGGCAGGACAGCCAGCAGACCCCGCAGACCCACCCTGTTTTCTCAGGTCATCGGAGACACCAAAAGCCCGCGACATCCGTTCTGGCAGAAAGGTCAAAACAGAAGCTCGGCTCTGACTAGCTGACTGACAATTTCTTAGGAAGGAATAGAACATACAACACTTTTTAATTGCCAGCCTTATTTTTAAGTGAGGAAGAACTACACATCTTACCCTTCATCTCCTGAGGCAAGTTCCTTCTGACCAAGTGTGCTTGGTCCCCACGTCCGTCCTTTCTTTTTGGGGGCCCTCTTCTCCTCCTCTTCACCTTCCTCCTTTGGGATGACTGAACTCCGGCCCCAGGTTTTGCTGCTTTCACCTGGTGTCACTGTGAATAACGAAGGCTGGATGGGATCAGGAGAAAAGACAGTTCGCCTCTCCCCAAACTAGCATCGACTCCACTAAGCACATACACACAAATTTGGAGCTGCAAGGAAGAAATTAGATCTCATCAAAAATTTCAAGCCTTTGTTCATAATAGCAAAGAGTTGGAAGCAACCTAAGTGCCCATCAACAAACGAATGGATAGAGAAGATCTGGTATATTCACACAATGGAATACTACTTTGCTGCATTGAAAAATAAGGAACTCATGCAGTATTATTCAAAATGGGTGACCCTGGAGGACATTATGCTGAGTGAAATATCTCAGTCACAAAAGGACAAATACTGCATAGTGTCACTTTTGTAGAACAGGACTGACATCAGGGTTGGGGTAAGACTGAGAAAAATTGGATAAATTATGTATACTGCATTGAAACAGATGAGGGAGAGAACAATTTAAAATCGATATATGATTGGGTATTATGGTTATGACAAGAGTCCAGAATAAAGCTTGCATAGTGGAGTGTACTCGGGGCAGGGGTGGGGTGGAGTGTGGGGATTGTATACCACTGAAGGAATTTTTCTTTTAATTTTCAAAGAGAAGAGCGAACTAGGGGGGAGAAGTAGGCAGGGAGAAAAAGGCAACAATGAATGAACGGAAATCTGAAATGAATAAATTTTTTAAAAAAGAGAAATGTTAATAAAATACAAAAATTCCAAGCCTGAGTGGAACATTCCAGAAATTAATGGAGTTCTCAGCAGCTGATTTTTAGTACTCTCAAAGTATCATACATGACACAAAGTTCCTTAAGTCAAAATCAGACATTAGAGTTCTAAGTAGGGTCTGACATAAAAAAACCTTGTCTGTGGGGAAAGGGATTGTATAACAATGAAAGAATTTTTCTTTTACTTTTCAAAGAGAAGAGTGAATTGGGCAGAGGGAGGGGTGGGCAGGGAGAAAAGTGCAACAATGAATGAATGAATGGAAAACTTCAGTCTCTGTAAATGTTCATTAAAATTATTATTAATAATAATAATAATAATAATAATAATAATAAATAGTCCCAACTAAAAAAAAAAACCCACAAAAAACCCCTTGTCTGTTGGATGGGATGGGCACTGGGAGGTGGGAAGACAAGGAAGTTGAGGGAAACTGGGAAGAAAAATGTGGCTGAGCAGAACAAGATTTGGGAAGAATGTGGGTTGGAAAGAAAGAAAATTGAGTTTTTAGGCTAAGGAGAAGACAGTTAGGAATAGGAAGAAAGGCGGAAGGAAGACCCTAGAGAAATAAAATAAACAAGAGAGAAGGAATACTCTTTTCACACCAAGGTTTTCACAAATCTTAGATCAAACATTTAGACTCAAATGCATCTGGGACCAGGTATATACCTACCCTAAATGCATGAAGTGAGTCTTTTACCAAAAACCAGGGAGCTGAGAGACTGAGGCAGAACATAAAAGATATGGCAGCCACCATCAGTTCCAGCTAATCGCAGCTGCATGGCAAAAGAAACTCCCTGATGTGATTTGACCTTTTTTAAAAATAAAAACAAAACATAAAAACTCCAGAGTTTTTGTGGGCAAATGGCTCTTTCTTCTACAAATAACACTGGTCCAGATTCAGCCTACCATCAAGTATTTGGCAAGTTTCGTTAGAAGCTAACTTTGCAAAAGCCCTTCCCCGGGAAATACGAGCAAAAGAGAAACAGTGATGCCCCATATACAGTAGAAGGGATGCAAGGGTCCACTGGCCAGTCTATCAAACAGGGTCCACAACACACACCAGTGACCAGATCACTCTGTGATCCACTCACGCTACCATCAATACCCATAACTCCCCCTTGCTCGTATGGGACTAAAAATCAAAGATATGGGAGTAAGCAGTCAAGCCAACTAACTGAGAGAGTCAAGAGGGAGGGTTAAGGGTCTGCGTACATATGTGCATGTATACAACACTGTGGAGGAAAGGTGGCACAAGTTATGGATGGAGCGAGCCTGGACCAGTTAGTGGTTGAACAGAGTGGGGGACAGGTGTCCCTGGTGGGTTCTGGCCCCAACTAATTTAGAAAACAGTCTCACACTGGATGGCTCGAAGGCGAGGAATGATGGTGGGGCTTGCAGGAGGGCTGGAACGGTTGTTGATCAGACTCTTCCTCTTATCCATGGTGGGGGAGGCCTGCACCGTGAACTTGTGCTGGAAATCTGCTTGGGGAGAGACACACACAGATGTGTACATTAGTTTTTCCCTAAGGAAAAGAGCATAGCCTGGCATGCCTTAGAGATGGCCCTGATTTCCTAAAAAGCTTGTTCACCTCTGGGAAATGTTTCCTTTTCAGAACCATCTCTTATTTCCCAAGGGAACGTGCCAAGATGACGGTATAGGGGAGATGGAAAACTCATTATCTGAGTGAACTTCCTTACTCAGTCAGCGTCGGGGCAGGATTAGGAGCAGAAGTAACATATTTAGAATGGTTTTTTGGAATGTAAGATCTTGTAGGTTATTAAAAAATTATTAACTGAGACACCTCTATTTTCTGTATTCTATAACTGTATGTCCCCTTTTCTCAGAGAAGACGCACTTCACACTAAGAGATGGCAGAGTTACTCAGAACCAGCCCTGTGTGAGAAGGTAGGTGACGAGCAGAAGAGATAGGCACAAGGCCCACCTTCTGATGCATTATGTCAAAGGTACAGAACAACGTGTATAATTCAAGGTGAGTACACTGGGGTTTGTGTTCAGCGTTGAAATTCCCGAGTTTCAGTTTCCTTATCTGTCAAAAATGTTTAAAAAACAGTTGCCTGTCTGTACAAACAGGCGCTTGTAGCTAGGTCTGATCACCAGAGACGTTACTGGGTTATGTATATGGTTAAAAGTTCACTACTAACCAAAAAGTTGGCGGTTCCAATCCACTCAGCGGAACCTCAAAAGGTAATCCTGCTTGTTCAGGACTGTAATCGGCGTCTGAAATGTTACAGCTTTAAAAACTACGCAGCCGTTTTACTCAGGTTAGCATGAGTCGGAATCAATTCAACGGCAACTGACAACAATGCCTCACTAGCGATCTCTTTATAGCTTTCATCCCTACATCCCCAGCACCCAGCAGTCTGATCAAGAGGTATTTAAAACCTCCGGGGAGTCTGCAAAGAGAAAAACACGCAACAACCATGAACACACACGTTGAATGTCACTGAACTACTGCCATTCCCCCATCTCTACTTAAACCTTCATCTTTGTACTTAAAATTGTCTACTTCTGTTTCTATTCGGGAGTTGGGGGGTGGGGGGCACAGTCTGTAGGAAGCTGCGCTGCTAATCCACAGACTGTGCCTTTCCAGGGGTTAATCCACTGGCAGCTCTGTGGGAGAAAGACAGGCAACCTCCTCTCATGAGACTTGTTGCTGTTTGTTGAGTCAGAAGGGATGCCTTGCTTGCCAACCTTCCAGTGGGTTTTCAGAGGCAGTAAATTGCCTGGGAGGAACTGACTGCCCATCCACCACCTGAGGAGCATCTGGTGGATTTGAACCATTGGCCTTTGGGATTAATGCTGCACAGCTTCTTAGCACTAGGCCTTCAGATACATTTCATATGACTTACAGACTTAGAACCTCAGTGCTGTTATAATGATTGTTGTTAGGCGACATATCAAGTTGACCGTGACTCGACAAATAACAGATCTGAACCTTTCTCTATCCTGTGCCATCCTCATCCTCTCTGATAGACTTAAGCCTATTGATACAGTGAGTGTATCAATTTATCTTGTTGTGTGTCTTTCTCTCATCTTCTACCTTTCCAAGATGTCTTTTTCCACAGCCTAGGCTCTCCTAACATGTCCAACACCAACATGTGAGATGAAACTGGTTCTAACTCAATGACAGCGAGTTTGAATTTGAAATTTTTTTAAAAATTGGTCCTATCATACTCTTCCTCTTGGTTCCTGACATTGCTGGTTAGTGTAATTCCTGCGGCCTTACAGACTCAGAACAAAATCCACCGTTTTCCTGACATAAGCACACATTAGAGCATTTGCCTCCATAATGGATACACTGTGCACCACAATGGCTCTCTCTGACAGTCTCATATTTCTCCCGCTGCATTTCGCCGGGGCTCTATATTTGCTAAAAGTACCTTTATTCAGCCAGTGTATTTTTAAAAGATTAGCTATAGACCAAATTCTTACAAAATTAACTGAATCTCAATTACACTCAAGGAATTAAATTTTTTTATTTTTTGCATTTTTTAGAACTAATTTTTTTAAAGAATCCGTGAGATGAGTTATTTTGCGGTGCTAAAATTTTTCTGGTCTCACCCATCCACTTTCTTTGGAAATATTTCCCCTCAATTACCTGCTCCCCTCTCATGTGTTTGCCTTTGAGTTGTGGTGCTGGAAAAGAGTCTTTAACATACCATGGACTGCCAAGAAAACAAATAGGTCTGTCTTGGACAGGGTGAAACCAAGTTTCTCATTAGAGGCTAGGATTTTCCAGCTCTGTCTCACATACTTTGGGCACGTGGCCAGGAGGAACCAGTCCTTGGAGAAGGACATCATGCTCGGAAGGGTGGAGGAACGGAACAGGAGAGGAAGACCCCAGATGAGATGGATTGATACAGTCAGTAGGGCAAGGGGAGGAGGTGTGTCGGAGTCAGTGAGACTGGCTCAGGACAGAGCAGGCTTCAGAGTTGGTGTACATAGGGTCACTGAGTTGCAGGTAATTTGATGGCACTTTACAACAAAAGGAGATGTTTCTATGTGACTGACCATGCTTCAAGCACCCTGGACCCTGCTCACCTGACTTTTGTTTCATCTTTTCTGTTCAAACAATGTTCAATGATGCCCCAGAATAGGGCAGCCTTTCAAAGGAAACCAGTGAGTGTCTATGACTGCGGTTTCCAAGCTCAGGCTCCAGCCCTCAGGCTCACCCTGCCACTGCTCCATGACCCTACCATTTCCCGTTTCCCCAGAGGCCCGTGCCCCTCACCAGAAGGGAGGCTGATGCGGTTGCCATCCTTGAGCTTCAGCCGGCTCTTTCTGAACTTGCCCTTGCGTTTCTTCACCCGGGGCTTCTCCTGGCATAGCTGGTGAATGATGATGTTGAGCTCTCGTTCCAGAATGTCGATCTCCCGTTCGGCCAGCTCCTGCTCCCGGCGCCGTAGTAGCTCCTCCTGGTTCTTCTGCTGTAAAGCCGCCCGTGTCAGCTCTTCCTCCCAGGTGCGGAGCTCCTGTGGGTCAGGTGGGAGCCATCAGAGAGCAGAGAGGAGCACTAAGCACTTAGGGCAAAGCCTGAGAGTCCCAAGAGTGAGCACTCATGGAACCCGGAGACACAGAGCATCTGTGTAGCTGTTCCCACACTCCCAGACCCTGATGGAGACAGATACTCAATAGTTAATGGCAGGTTACATCAACACTTGACCCCACTGTATGATGGGTAAAGGAAGTCTCAGAATAGCTACACTGAAGATGCCTTCAGCAGAGGTAGCTATAGTCTTGGATTATGCACAAAGAAGTGGGAATTCCCAATTTTCCCTGGATCTTGTTTAACATTGCCTGTGAGAAATATGTGTTTGAGTTTTATAGACCTTGTTCCATTACAATTTCTCACACTGTGGTAAGTCTTTTATTTGGTTGTAATGTGACCCCCAAGTCCTTGGCTCTCTGTCCCCTTTACTTTGCTTTCATCATAAGGACAGGGGAAAAAAGAACCCAAGATACTTAACCACTAAGAAGATGCACACAAAGGGTTCCTGATTGGTCAAGTTTGCAGTTAAATGGAAAAGTTAAAAAGTGTGAGCTAATTTCAAGCTTCCAAAGGCCCCTTCAGTACCTGCTCACATCTGAGAGATGGGTTTAGATCTAAGCCTCTGTCTTCAAGGGGGCAGGAACTGCAGCCCAGAGACCAATTCACCCTTGCAAGTCCTAGAAGCAGTAGGTTCAGTTACTCTGATGAAACAGTTGAACCTTATGCTAAACCAGGAGACTTGTGGGGTATTCTCCAACAGCATCCTATATCTAGAAGACCTGCAAAGCACTTATGTGGGCATGAACTAGACAGCATGCAACTCACATCTCCCCTGAACAGAATGATCCAAGAAGAATTTCTATTAGGGAAAGTTCAAGATATAGCTTACCCTTCGTCCAACTACAAGCTTTATAATGGAGAATTATCACAACACATGATTAAGATCAAAGGCACTGGTGCAAAACATTTGAATTAAGGTACCAGCTTTGCCAGCTTTGTGTGGGATTGGGCAGCATATATAATATGAACTGACAATATGTTGAATTACGTATGACAATGCTCATACTGTTCGACTACCTAAGACAGTGAACATGAATTACTTGTAGTAGGACACAGCACATACTACATATTTATAAATATTAACTATAATGTAAATAAATAAAATGTTATTTGTTTTCCTATTAACTCCTTATTGACAAAATCCAACTTTCTCTTTTCTTACTAACTTCATGTTGTGTACTGTTGAGTTCGAACCAGCTCACAGCTGACTCTCCAGGGGGTTTGTCGAAGCAATAAATCACATGGGAGGAGACTGCCTACCTTTTTCCCCTGGTAGATTTGAGCCACATGCCTTTGGGTTAGCAGCTATGCCACTTATCACTGAGTCACCAGAGCTCTCTGTTCTCACTGATTTGTATTGTTGTTGGGTACAGTCGAGTCAAAACTGACCCAAAGCTGTCCCTCCAGGGGGTTTTCAGAGGCAGTAACTCACAAGGGAGGAGACTGCTCACCCTTCAACCATGGAGCAGATGGTGGATTTGAACTGTGTGTCACTGGGATTGCAGCACAGCTTCTTACCACTAGGCCATCAGAGCTCCCACATTACTAGTATTACTAAAATTTCATCAGTCAAAGAAAGGTAAACAAGAGTTAATGATTCCGTAGTCTGCGATAAGACCAGCAACTCTGGAGGTTCTTCAAGCATAGAAACCAGAGCAGTTTCTATGATTCTGTTCAAAGTTGGTGAAGTTCCACCCACTCCCCTGCTCATCAGAAACTCCACTACATGACTTGTGTAGGCTTGCTATGCTGGATGAGAATTTAATTTCTCCAAATAAGCTACAGAAATTATTATTAAGTCATCTGTTAAGGGGAACAACTATGGACATGGAGAAGATTGTAGATTTTGGGACAGGAAGGTCAGGGTTAGAAGCTCTGCTTACCTACTTAATTAGTGATGTGCTTTCAGACACCACACTGACTTGCAGCTCTGCGAAGGGAAGGCTAATTACACCTGTACTGAACACTTGTAGCTGAAGCCATAGTGCTCAGACTAGACCCTTCAAGAGAAAACCATAAACCATGTAATACTACAAAGCCATGTACAATTATAATTTCTATTAGTAGTATATTACTATTAACTTCCTAAATTCTCATAGTGAAGAAAAGATAAAGCAAGCTATAAAGACATCTTCATGCCCCTAACTTCATGTCCCAGCAGACCCCGTATAACTATTTGTGATAAACCGTACCTATGTGGTCACTAAGTGTACAAAGAGGGGGTCATTTAGAGAATGACCAATGACATAAAAAGGAAGGCTAGGCACCTCCTAACTATTGAGTCAATTTGGGTTTGTTTTTTTCATAACACGAGAAATGCCTAACAATTTCAGATCCATGGTGTTTCTGTGCCATATTCTGCTTTTGATTCTGATACCACAAGACACTGGCAGACTGTCATGGTAACAATTCTCTGTATTGCAGTGACCCCACATTGAGTTAATTTCCTTTTAGTCCATTGTAGAGCCATGAGACCCTTCCTGAACTTTCTCAAATTTTCAGCTGACAGAGAAAAACAGCCCACTGATAAGTACGAAATGGTGCTCTTTTTCCATGTTTGAACAATTGTAGATGTTCTGAAGGGAGAGTTAAGCTCATGACTTTTGCTTCTTAATCTTGCTACATTCCAAAACCATTTAGGTTACACCTAAGGCCTGAGAACTCTCTCCAAATAAAGCTTGGAAGAAAGGAATTGTCTTATTCTATCAAGCCATGCAGAATCAGGTGGTCAGGCAGATAGAGGTTCTAGGGAAGAGAGTTCCACTGACTGAATGGATGCCTTTTATTTTTACCTTTTCTTTGGCCCTGAGTTGGTCAAACATCTCCTGAATCTCATGCTTCCAGTCATCCTGCAGGCAGTGGAAGGAGTCCTTGGGCATTTCAAAGAAGCCAGACTCCTCTATGGTAGTTAGCTGGTCCAGGATATTTGTGAAAGATGGACGTGAATGGGGGTCGGGATTCCAGCAGTCTGAATGGGACAAGCAGACAGAGAGCATGAATGGAGGGAGGCAAATGTAAGAACCAGGATATCCTGTGATGTTATTTACTAGTGACGGTCCTTTCATTTCTCCTTCCAGAAATAGATTGGAATTTAGAGAACATCAAGTAGGGCTCAGGAAGTAAACCAAGGGTCCAACTTTACAATTATATATCAAGAGTGACATGGAAAATAAAATACAACAGTCCCAGCATCTAGTCCAACCCTGATTGGTAATTTTAAGTATAAGAAAAGTGAGTTCAAAAAGTTTTCCTGTGCAAAGTAGTACTACTACAATATATCATGGTATTACACAATTCTATGTGATTCTACTGCTGGTATGGATAACTAACTGTGAGTCTCACTTGGCCATAAATAAATAAGTTCTTCTTCCCCATGTCAATGAAATGACATGAAGACAAGCACTTGAATGGGAATCAGAAAACGTGAGCTCTATCTAATTCCAGTTAGACTAGCAAGGGGAATGACTACCTAATCACTTAATCTTCCTTGATTTTGGGTTTCTCACTTATAAAATGATGAGGTTTCACTAGGTAACTTCTTAGAACATCTTTCTTTGCAGATGTTCTTTTCTACATAAGCTCTGATATAAATATTGCTATTTTCTTATATATTCTGAAATACTGACTGTAACTGATTAGCTATTAAGATAAATTCTATAGTTACAGAAGACTGACAGAAGAAATACTTATGACATCAAGGTAGCTTTCCTCCCTGTAGAATTAGTATTTTATCTCTCCTTTCAGCCAGTGATCCTGTAGGAATTGGTCAAAGTCTACCAAGAACAATCCAGAGTTCAGGCCAGAGGTCACTTACCTTCCATGAGTTTGGCAAAGGGTTCTGGGCACGTGGAAGGAATGGGAAGGGCAAGTTTGTTCATAGCCACACCATAAGCTACCGCTAAGCCATCGATTCCTCGGAAGGGCACTTCACCAGTCAGCAGCTCCCAAAGCAGCACTCCATAGCTACAGAGAAGAGGTAAGCCAGATATTAAACCTCAGCTACAACTCTGTGGAAATATATAACTCACGCAGCTTTGCTGTCTAGTACATATTCTCCCTGACATATAAGGGAGATAATGCAACAGATAATAGCTTTGACGACTTCAGCATTCTCCCCTGATCTTTCAAGTCCACACAAAGAATTTCTTTTCCACATTTTGTAAGTCAGAGGATGAGAGCTACAAAGCTTAGTAGAAAAAGTCATGATTCTACAAATTCATAATTAGGACCAGGAAAAACCATGCTGCACTCAGCCCTTCCAAGACATGAAACTACAGATTACGAACAATCAAAAGAGTGACTCTCCTTGCATTTCCAAGTCAAACCCCCAATCACTAATTTTCAATTTTAATTTCATTTTACCCATCACTAATTTTCAATCACCAGTGATCATATTAATAATAATAATTATGAATCCAACATATACTTATCATTGTATTGTGTTCATAGATGGTAAGGAGTTTTACAAACATTGTCTTTAATGTTTAAAACAAACGTGCAAGTATTATAATTCTGCAGAAGACATCAATACAGTGGCATATATTAATGGCAGACACAGCTAAGGATCATGGTGAATCCTTAACCAACTTTTAGTTTTCTTATTTGAAATGTCCTCTTACATTTGTTTACTTACTTATTCATTTAAAGTATTTATTAAGGGATATCATGCTTAGAAAGATAGTCATTGAAAGAGACAAAGACCACAAAAGAGATGGATTGACATGGTGACTTCAGCAATGGAGTCTAGTGTGTCAGATATGATGAGGATCATAGAAGATAGGGCAGGGTTCAGGCTGGCTGCTTATAGGGTCACTATGAGTCATAGTCCACTCGATGGCACCTAACAACAACAACAACAATTATTATGCCAGACATTGGGATACAGGATAAAAACAGAAGCTATCCATAAAGAGATTAGCGAGAGAGGTAGAAAAACGGATTATAGAGAAATGGACCATCACAGAGATATTGTTATGTTCCGTGAAGCTGCCTGCAACTCATAGCAACTTTGTGTAGAACAGCTCTATAGCTTGCCCTGTCCTGAGCCAGTCTCACTGACTCCAACACACCTACTCCCATTGTTCTAGTCACTCTATTACTCCATCTCATCTATGTATGTCTTCCTCTCCTGCACTGTCCCTCCATCCTTCCAAGCATGATGCCCTTCTCCAAATATCGGCCATTCCTGGCCACATGCCCAAAGTATGTTAAGATGAAATTTCACAATCCTAGCCTCCAAGGAGAAACTTGGTTTCACTCTTTCCAAGACAGACTTATTTTGGCAGTCTATGGTATGTTCAAGATTATGTTCCAGCACCACAACTCTTCTATCATCCTTGTCATTATCCAGCTCTGATGCACAGTAAGTAATTGCGAAGACCATGGACTAGGTCAGGTGCACCCTAGTCTCTAGACTGACATCGTTGCTTCCCAGTATTCTGGAAAGTTACCTGACAGCAGGTTTCCCTAATGGAATTTGTCTTTTGATTTCCTGACTGCCGGTGCCAAGAATGTTGACTGGGGAACCAGGCAAGCTGAACCATGCAGTGTTTCCTTGTTCTTTCCTGAGGACTGCTTCCCAGTCCAAGTATAGGTTTCGCATAAGCACAATCAAGTGCTCTGGAACTCCCATTCTCTTCCACATTAAACACAATTTGTGTGATCAACACAGTCAAATGGCTTTGCATAGTCAATAAAACATAGATAGCTATATCTGTGGTACTCTTTGTTTTCTGCCAAGATCCATCTGACATTGGCAATAATGTCTCTAGTTCCTCAGCTTCTTCTAAACCCAGCTTGTGTTTCTGTTAATTCTTTATCGATGTGTTATTCCAGCATTTCTGGATAATCTTCAGCAGAATTGCTTGCATGTGGTATGAGTGATACTGTATGATAATTTCCACATTATGTTGTTCCATACCTTTTTTTTGAATGGGAATAAATATAGATCTCTTCCAGTCAGTTGGCCACGTAGGTGTCCTCCAGATTTCTTGGCACAAACTGGTGAGCATATCTAGGGTGGCACCTGTTTGTTGAAATACATCAATTGGTATTCCATCAGTTCCTGGGGCTTTATTTTTTTGCCAAGTCCTTCAGAGCCGCCTGAACTTCCTCCATCATCATTGCCTCTTGATCATATGTTGTTTCTTCAAGTTCTTCTGTGTCATCCAATTCTTTTTGGTACAGTGACTCTGTATACTCCTTCCATCTTCTTTTAATACTTCCTGGATCATTCAATTTTCTACCTATAGCATCCGTAAGTGTTGCAGCAAGTAACAGAACTTGAGTCAACCTTCACTGCTAAGAGAACGGGGGAGAGCAGTGCTCTGGAGAGGATCAAATGCACAAGAGTGCTCAAAAACCCCAAGTGGTCTGCCATTATCCAAACAGAACAGGCACCCAACAGTGCTAAAAATGGCCCTCAGAGTGGCCTGGTAGTCTCCTTAGATGATGACTTTGTCCTTTATCCCAGTGAGGTCCCAAAATAGTATCATTTTTCTTCTTTATATCTTGGGAAAAAGTCGAGCAGGGTCTAAGTCTACCAGATAGGAGCTGGAGTTTAACCTGAGGTTGATGGGAACAATGTCAGATACTTTAGGATACCATCCCTCACTTTTCCAAGTGTTTGTCTGACATTTCTTGGGGCCCCCATGCCTTCTTGTTGTGTTTACCAGCCTATGGGCTCCTAACAGGAAGGGACAGTACTTTATAATCTCTGAACTCCCAGACTTGGCATCATCTCTGATACACAAAGCATTCATTCAGTGTGTGAGTGTGTGAGTGTGTGAGTGTGTGCGTGCACAGTGGGATGGTCCCACAGGCTTCTTGGATGCTGTAGATTCAGCCCTCAACACCACCACCAATTGTACTGCTATGTTCCCTGCTAAACTTTTACTGAGACTTACCCAGTCAGAATGCTAGACTGCTTCTACCAACTGACTTGTTAGAACTCCTTGATCTTATTGCTAGGTTTGAATGATTCTCATCCTCAATCTCCTTCTCTGGGAATTAATATCCTCCACCTCACAGGAAAAACAACAAAACCAAAGGAAATTCTTCTCTCCATACAGGAAAGACAACTGGTCTCTGAACTTATGGAAAGACAGTGTAATGTCTCAAAGACCCACACATGTCTTCTGTTTCTGCTCTTAGATCCTCTGTGATGGCTTTTACCACGTGAGCGCTAACTCCCATGGAGATGTCTCAGCCCTTGTGGGAAGTGGAGGAGTCAAGGACTCTGCCTTTCCTACCTTCAACCAGGACACCTTCCATACTCCCAATATAGCTCTACTCTTACTTGTCTTGTTTCCTGGCTCTTCTGTCCATTTGAAAGGCTAGGAGAAAGGATGGTTGAAACATTTTTTTCACATATTTTCGACATGTTATCAGGAGAAGTCAGTCCTTAGGGGGGGAAAATACTATATCCTGAAAAGTAGAGGGTAGGTGAAGGAGAGAAAGCCCTCAATAAGAAACACTGACTCAGTGAAGGGCTTACACACAGCAGAGACTGGCAGGGCAGCACTGGATCTTGGACATGTTGTAACGCTAAAGTGCTATGAATCAGAACCAACTCAAAGGCTACATATAGGAGTGAAATCCCTGAGTAGAAAAAAGGGTTAATTACTTGACTACGAGCTGAAAAGCTAACAGTCTGAGCAACCTAGAGATATAAGTCTGTTTCTGAAAAACCACAGCTACAAAACCTTATGGAGAACTGCTACTCTGCCCACATGGGCTCACCATGAATTAGAAGTGACTCAATGACAACTGACAATAACACAGACAAGAGATATGAGACAGCTACTTCCAGGGAGCATAAATGGTATTAAAACAGACTTCCATCAAACACTGATTTTCCCACATAATAGTTGTGTAACAGGGGGCAATAAATTCACTTTGCTTAGCCTCGGTTTCCTGACCCATACACAGGGAGAGCACTGCCTATCTGACAGGGCAGCCACAAAGAATAAACAGCAATAATAGCTAGTACCTCTTCATCCAGAATTACCACCTGTGACTGCAAATGGAAGGGCCTGATTAAGCGGTATCTGGAGAAAGTTAGGTAGATCCTTGCTGAGAGATATGGATTTCAGGCAAGAGGCTCTATTGTTTTAGGGATGACTAATCTAGTAAAAATAATGTCTTCTGCCAATGCATCTCTTTAACAGAAGGTGGGGGATATAAACGAAGACTTGGTTTTCCTTTGGGAGGAACAGAATCCAAAAAAATACAATTTAGATAGATCTGAGCCCTAGGACTCCGTGAGCAGTAAAAGTCAGTGAGACTTGCCTCAGGTTTAGCCTACTTTGTTGTCCTCAAGAGTTGAGAAAGTCAAGGGGTCCTTAGAAACAGACTGAAAGGTAGTTCAACTGAAGCACTGCACAAAAATGAGCCACCAGCTTCCAAAGAGCCATCTGCAATTTCCCAGAGGTCCTCACAGCACAAACCCTCAGGGAATTCACATTTGTATCAATAATTAACCACTCCAGAGGTTCAGAAATCCCTTCAAGCCTGTAGTATGGTCAGATAATAGGGGAGAGCCCCTATTTTATTGTTTTCAAAACACTGATGTAGATAAGAGCTTTCACTTCACAGGCAAAAACACCCCAAATCCACACCTCGGCTAGACTAGAACTGTTTTTCTTAGTAACTGTTTCATCTCTAAGAGTTGATGGCCCAGGCTGAAAGGAAAAGGTCTCCCTTCCATGGGATGGGAAACCTCTTGTCCATGGTAACTGGCTGTGATTCCACATTCCAGGAAACACACTACTTAAGCATCTTTAAGAAAAGCAATTAAATTAGTATATATGGAAGAATTTTGCAAATTGTAAAGTAATATACAATTCTTGATAACTAAACTCTCAAAATTACGTATTTCTTAACATATGTATGTTTCTTAACATATGTATGTAAGATATATATCAGTATATTCTTGATGTGGTGTACTTATTAACATGGTAATA